TGAGCTCATCCGCCCCTACACACCTGCCCGGCACCTCAGGTCTGCGGACCAGACATTATTAGAAGTACCAAGAACTAAACTGAGGCTCAGAGGGGATCGAGCCTTTTCTGTTGCTGGTCCCTCTCTCTGGAATGACCTCCCACTGAATATTCGGCAAGCCTCCTCGCCGCCCATCTTCAAAACTCACTTGTATTCTTTGGCATTTGACTCAGCATGACTTAGATTTGTTCTTGGTTTTGCTGTTCGGTGCTTTCTACCATCTTTATTACTGACTTGCTTTACTGTTTGTTGTATATGTTGAATTGCTCCATGTACAGCACTTTGTATGCAGCGATGGCTGTTTGAAAGTGCTCTATAAATACAGTTGAGTTGAGTATATCATTGGACTTTGTCACAGGACTTCCGATGTCAGAAGGTAACACCACAGTATTACTTGTTTTTCTAAGATGACACATCATTGCTCTACCCAAGCAACCCTCAGCTATTGTGACTGCTCAAATAATTTTGGAAAATATTTTCAGGATCCATGGATTTCCAAAGGATATTGTGTCAGAACGGGGGCCCCAATTCATCTCCAATTTCTGGAGGGGGTTCTGCCGACTCATCAGTGCCACGGCAACCCTGATATCAGGATATCATCCGGAAGCCAAAGGCCAGACTGAGCGCCTCGGCCAATAGCTGAAGGCCAGTCTTCAATGGGTTGTGTCCCAGAACTCGACTTCATGGAGTACCCACCGGATCTGAGTTGAATATGCCTACAATTCACTGCCCACCTCTGCTACAGGTTTCTCCCCCTTCAAATGTGTCTACAGCTACCAACCTCCAGTGTTTGCTGATTCAGAACCCAAGGTTTCAGTTCCCCATGCCTTGGGACGGCCCTGCTGCCATATCTAGGTCTCTGCCCATCAAGTGCTCATCCGGCAGAGGAACAGAGTAAAGAGAGCTGCACACCGTCTGCATCGTCCTGCACCTGAGTATCGACCCGGGCACTGAGTGTGGCTGTTTGATCAAGTTGTTCACCTCTCGGTTCCCTCCAAGAAACTGGCTCCAAGGTTTGTTTGTCTCTTCCCGATTGACAAGGTCACAGGCCCAGCTGCTGTTCACCTCCGTCTGCCAAGGTCCATTCATGTCCACTCCACATTCCACGTCAGCAAGGTCAAGTCCACAGCAGGGAGTCCATGGTTCTGGCTACCAGACCCTCACTGCCGCTGGAAGCAAAGGATGGTGGTCTGCTGTACAAGATCAGAAAACTGCTACCGGTTTGCAACAAAGGTCAGGGCAAGCAGTTTCTTGTGGACTTGGAGGGACATGGGCTAGAGTAGAGAGATTGGATCCCACAGAGTCACATAGATGACCCTTCCCCGATTCAGGACTCAACAGGGACCACCCAGAAATACCTGGGCCTTCAGGGGTCTGTCCTGGCCGGTTGTTTGTGTTTGTCTGGTCACTTACTGAATGACTCTCCTCTTGTTTCAGGTCACTTGCCCTTCCTTTTGTTCTGGTCACTTACTGAATGACTCTGATCTTGTTTCTCCTCTTGTTTCAGGTCACTTGCCCTTCCTTTTGTAACATTATAATTGTCAGCCCAACCCTGATTATTTCCACCTGTTGGCCCTTACTTCGTGTATAACTTGTCCTTGTCTGCCTTTGTCCTGTGCCAGTGTGTTTCCTCCTTGTGTGTGCACTCTAGCTTCTTGTCACAGATCTGACAAGTGCTTGCCTATTTTGAGTTTTCTTCCACTGACCCTCAAATAAATCTCTCCTATTTTATTCTGAACCTTGCAACTGTGTCTTGTGTCCAAGCCTGGTATTGACAGGAGGTGACTATTTACAGGAACAAAACAAAGAGGTACTTCTGTGTTGAGCAGACTTATCAGTCAAGGTCGTCTTCCTGGGTTTTCTTCATGCATTTTGGCTTCCTTCCACATTCTAAAATTTGCATGGGAGATTAAATGAACATGAAAAAATACATATATTTAAGGACAAATTGTTGTGTGCTTGTTTGTAACCAAAAATGGACCAGCATGCAAAAGTTACAAATAAGGACATAGTCTAAGATGCATCTACTGAATGTGGCATACATAGTCATCTGAGAGTAAGGCCAAACACCGCAGACAAAGAGAAAAGATGATTTGTTTTATACTCCCCCAACACACACACACACACAATTTCCAAATGTTATTTAAAGGCTCTAATGATATATTTTTTTTCTTATTTCTCTTTCATTTTAAGGCAAAGGTTTGGAACGGACCGGCAGTATAGTACGGGTTGAAGCCCACCCAGAGTCAAATAAACCTGTGGTGAAACCTCTGAGCACTGATGGAAGCGGCTCTTGGCGTTGGAATCCACCAGAAAAGCGACCGTCCCTACGTCAGCCAGCCTTTAACATCAATGATTTCAACAGAAATACAGACACCTGTGATGCTATGCAGGATGCCGGGTCACTGGATGGGCGGCAGAGTGTAACAGGGACCAAATCAGAAAGCAAAGTTGAAGAGGGACTACACATCAGTTACCCACATGTAGTATACCAGTCACATTCTAATTTTCAGGATCCCAACGCTACCAAACCTCTCACTCCCAGCGCCATATTTGCTCCTCCTTTCCATCATCACCCTCAGTCTATCACTACCATTAGAGTCACCCCTGTGGAAGGGACTGGTGCCAGTACTGATGGCAGCTCTGACAGCCAGTCGGCTGCGTCTTCGAGCCGGGAGTCCACATTGAGGAGAAAAAGTGACACCCCTATTCACTTTACTCAAGATTCAGGGCTTATCACTGATCACATTCTCCGTGAGAAAAGTGAACTCTTCAAAAGTGAAAGCAGCAATTTTTTCAAAGAAAACCTGAAAGGTTTTCAAGATAACCCCATCCAGTCTGACAGGCATTTACAAGGAATGTTTGGCCGTCCAGGCCCACACCCTCCACCTACTTTACCCCGTCCCCATATGAATCACTCTCCACCTCCAACTCTGGGGTTGGCTGTTAAGGAATCTTAATGTGAAGTCCATCCATTAAAACATTATAAAATGTTGTCCTGTATCACCAACAGAGATATTATTTTCAGGGAGATATTACAGTACACGTACATTACATAGATAAGGTGAATCTTTCGGCATAAGGACTTCTAGTACAGATAGAAGCTTACTTTTATTTCATTTTATTTTTTGGAAACATCGTCTCCAGCACTGTCACACACTTTTCCCATCTGTGCACAAGCTTCCATATTCCCTCAGCATAAAAATCTTTGGACTGATGTCTCAGCCAGTTGCTCACAACACTTTTGACTTCATCGTCACTTTCAAACTTGGTGCCTCTTGTGAACGCTTTTCAGGAACAGGTGAAAATCTAAAGGGGCAAGATCTGGGCTGGAAGTGGGATGAGGGAGCAGTTCCTAGCCCAGCTCGTTGATGGTCTGCACCGTTTGAGCTGCTGTGTGAGGCCTTGCGTTGTCATGATGCAAGATGACTTCTTTTGACTGATGACCCCTGCGTTTGTTCTTTGTCTTTCTTGAGCTGCCTCAGCAATCACAGTAGTTGGCACAAAGTTTGAAAGTGACGATAAAGTCAAAAGTGTTGTCACATCAGTCTAAAGATATTTATGCTGAGGGAATATGGAAGCTTATGCACAGATGGGAAAAGTGTGTGACAGTACTGTCAAGTCAAGTAGTCAAGTCAAGTACAACTTTATTGTCAAATGTGCTGTAACATACAGCACAGATGAAATTTTTTCCCTCTCACAACATACAACAAGAGGAGTCGCTGCGGGTGCCCTTGCCGCCATCAAAAGAAAAGTTAACATAAAATGACAAAATAATACAAGACAACACATTAGACACAGACAGTCATGCAATCTTAACCACTTTCCTGCATACACTTTGTTGTCTGAAGCAGTTATAGATGAAAGAGGAGTGAATCAAAGTGTCCTTTTCACCAGTGGATCAAAGACGTCATGCTGCAATGTGCACGCATCTGCTACAAGCTAAGCCTGAAAGCAACAAGAAGCTGTAGCATCCATTAACGAAAAAGAGATCTGCTCTCGTCTCCTGTCCCATGTAAATCCGTTGCAATTCCAAGCCGCGACTCGCAGTTCCACATCCACATCGGCGCTTTGCGCTGACGCTCCTTTCTTAAAAAACAAAAAAACAAAAAACGCTGATATCTGTATTACAAGTCCTTATCCTAAAAAATTCACCTTATTTATTGAATAAGATAAGATAAAATGAGAAAACCTTTATTCGTCTCACAATAGAGAAATTCCCAATTTACAGCATCAAAGTTATGAAAGGAAGAAAGTAGAAGAACAAAAAAGTATAGGAGCTGCTGTAACTAATAACATATTAAGAATAATACAACACAATACATAAGATACAGGCAGTCATTCAGTCTTAACCACCCTGTAAATAATAACATATTAAGAATAATACAACACAACACATAAGATACAGGCAGTCATTCAGTCTTAACCACCTTTCTGCATACTCTTTGTTGTTTGAAGCAGTTATAGATGAAAGAGGAATGACCCTCGTATTGTGCTTAATTTCCTTGTTGAAAATTCTCTTATATCACGATATGCTTCAACAACTAATGAATGAATTTATGTTACAAGCCATGGAGAACATACCGAGTACCTATCGAGAACCTACTGATGACAATTGCCATCAGCAGTATTGAGCATTTTACTTTCAACATCATGTCTCAAACTACTGGATCTATGACCAAAGCAGACGCAGCGCTTTTTCATTGTTGAACAAAAATATTGGACTGCTGAAACTGCTAAACATCTCAGTGCTGTTTCATTGCCTTACCATTATCAATATCTCACCAGT